TGCTGCTACTACTACTACTACTACTACTACTACTACTACTACTACTACTACTACTACTACTACTGCTACTACTACTACCCCACTTGATGCATGGTAGATTCGATGTACTTGGTACGATATTGAGAACTGCACGAGACATGCTAATGCGGACTGTGGTAGAGGAGGGAGGTGAGCTGGTGGGAGGGGGAGAGTGAATTATCATAAACCATTGAGAGACAATTTAAGTTTCTTCAGAGCTCTCATATTGAAGTTTCACCAACCTAGTGATATGAAAAACAAATTTCACGACTACTGCATAACACCACGAATATCGCGTTTTACGCCGCTTCACGTAAAACGGGTAATCGTGAAACTCCATTAGTATTTGGCAATGCATACCGTGTTGGGACTTTGAAGTTTCACGCGAAGTGGCGTAATATTTTGTATGAAGAAATTCTGATATGAAGTGAATTGAAAACAAATGGCGAATTACGCCATTTCACGTAAAACACTCGCAGTATTTCGCGAAAAAAAATTTTGCTTTTAATCGATATTTCAGGAGTTTATCGCGGAGTTGATATTACGCATCCTATCATCAAGAAACACGAGCTCACGCAGTGTACTATGGATCTGCTCTATGTGTTGGATCACGACGAAGTAAGGCTTATAATTTGATAATTTTTGGGAAAAAATTCCGGGAATTTTTTGTTGTTTTATGTATGCAAACTTGTATATTAACTGCTGATCTCAACTGAGGAAAGGAAACATATATTTCTCGAAGTGATTACTCATTTCAAACGTAATAGGCTGAGACGAAACTCGGTGATAATATTGGAGTTTAACCACCCGTTTTACGTGAAGTGGCGTAAAACTTGGTGAAAAACGCGAAATTTTCGATATGAAGTGAATTGGAAACGATTCGTGAATTGCACAGGACAAGTCCTCTTATTTCACGCGTTTTACGCGTTATTCATTGCTCACATGAGGTTTTTCGCGAAGTGAAATGTGAAATATATTTTGCACTAGTGTTTCTCATATCACTAGGGTGGTGAAATTCCAATGATTTTTTGAAAAACAAAAACTGGATTGTAAATGATATTCGTTTATTAGGTTCATGAAGTGATAATGCGAAATGAGGGGAAGATGATGAAAGAGTAAATATCAGTGACGGCGGCGGGAATGTGCATCGAGGGTTTGTATTCATCAGAGTTGTGATGCCCGGATGGTGTGAAGTGCTGAAGTTGGCGCAGTATTGTTATGCACATAGAGTGATACGAGGCGATCATATCGAGTGAGTTGTGGGGGCGTTGGTGAAAAACAGATTTCACGAACCACTGCTGCATATCACCGCGTTGAATATCGCGTTTTGTTCGCAGAGTATTACGCCAATTGACGTCGAATGGGGAAAACTCAAATGAATCTGTTTTTTCTCTTATGATTACCGTTTTTGCTATATTCGATGAAGTTTCACCCATTTTACGTGAACTGGTGTAAAACTTTGTGAAAAACGCGATATTCACACCACGCAGTAGTCGTGAAATATATTTTTCACTAGTGTTTTCATATCACTAGGGTGGTGGTGGTGAAACTCCAATATTGCGAGCTCCATATTGAGCAAACTGTGAGAGGTATTATCAGATTCTCCGACCCAGACTGGAGCGGTGCATTATCACTTCATAACGACGCTGTTAGCCATACATGGTTATTGATAGAGATCATTTATCGGTGAGTGCATTGGTCGGCTCTTGGGGGGTTTGATAGTTATGTATTACAGTGCTGACGTTGTTCATGCGGTACAAGTAATCGCGTGTAACATGTCACCGTAGGAATATCGCTTGAGGAATAATATATGGGAAATTGTAAGAGTTGACCTATAGGGCCGACTTCCGCCTGGACTATACACCTTCTCAGAAATAACTTCGGGGAGGCCGTTTCTGCGCAGCGTGAAGGATTCGTTTGCACATTATCACGAAGAATCTTCTGTGTAGATGGAACTCTAACCCGAAATTGATGTCCTTGTTTGTGAAATTGCATTCCTTAATCATGAAATTGACGTCTTTATTCGCGAAATTGATTTCCCTATTCGACTCGCATCGCTAAATTGATGTCCCTATCTGCGAAGGTGAATTCTTTATCCGCTGAGTCGGTAGCCTAATCCGCCCAAAAGATTTCTGAAGGGTATAGTATACACCCCTCCACATATTCTTAGCATATCCGGTTTTTCGACTCGTGCACAGCCACCACAACGAGTACCATCTTGCGGCTCAGGGAGGTATGTACTTATGCTTTACCTGATATGACCTCCAAGTTTCAGGGCCTAACTCTCCGTAGCTAGTGAGAAGTCGACGACCGGTAAAACGTTTTCTCCACATATTCTTAGCATACACGTGTTAAAATTGCGCCTCAAAATACCAACTTTTACTCGGG